CAATTTTAAAACATTTACATTATATAGATTTTTTTTATTTGCTAAGTAATATTTTCTTTTTATTTTTTTAAAAGACTCTCCATACTTATTGTTACATATTTAATTTATTAAATTTTATTGTTAGATACTATTAATTTAAAAATATTGTATATGCTTAAAATCAAAAGGAAAAAAATTATACGAGGCTATATAAAATATTTCACAAAACAAAAACATATTTTTTAATTAAAACGTAAAGTTTAAAATTGATCAATATTTAGAAAATTATGGATATTTTAAAAATAAAATTTAATTACAAATAATACAATCAAATATGAAAAATAAAATCGCTATTAAAAATGGGGAAAATGACTTACCAGAGTAATTAACTTTTCGTTTTGTTCATATTTAGATAACTTTTTTCCTTTCGTACACATTTAACCATTTAACTTGTTAATTTGTTCACATATTATCATTGTCACCTGCTATATCCGGTGACAATGACAATATGTGAAAACATATAACAAGTTAAATGGTCAAATATATACAAAAATAAAGAAGTTATCTAAATGTGAACAAAACGATAAAGATGATTACCCTGACAAGTTATTTTCCCTAAAAAAATGATGAATTAAACTTAGGGCATCCACAATCCATTGAACTCTAAGGAGTTCAATGGATTGACGCATCACTGCCACATCTACATTTTACTTTTTATTCAACTATACTCTTTAACATCCACACGCCATTAAACCATTCAAAGTTTAATGGATTTCTATATTTGGTTTGAAATTTAATTGAAAAAGAAAAGATTAAATCCATTGAACCACTCAATGATCATGGAACTCTCCCCATTCAACTCTCCTCCATGTCATCACTCACACTCCATTAAACTTCTATTCAATCCTAGTCATCATCTATTCAACTCTTATTAAACCCCCATTTTGAATGCTCTTAGTTCAATCAACAAAATTTACAACACAAAAAGTAACGAAATATTTTGGATTGTTTATAAATAGCGACGTGTTTCATGAATAGTGACAATTGAATTTCAATTGCTTTTGCTTTTGAGGATAACAATCAATATTTTTAACTATAATAATTGCTTTTGCTTTTGTAGATAACAATCAATATTTTGAAGGGTTGTGCTATAAGTACCCCTCTTAACTAATTTTATCCCCCTAGCATCAATCTAATTAACTTTTTTCTTTTGATTTAACATCATTTTTTTCTTTTTTTCTTTTTTTTCTTTTTTTTCTTTTTGTTTTTTTGTTGTTTTTTCTTTTATTATTATTATTATTATTATTATTATTATTATTATTATTATTATTATAAATTTCGATAACCATATAAAATTCGGACAATATTTTAAAATTCGTACAACATTATAAATTCAGACGATATTATAAAATTCGAACGACTATATAAAATGGAACAAAAATAAAGTTTGCTTTCAATCCGCATAAAGCACCACGCAAATGCAATACCAAACCAATTAATATATCCGTGATAAATAACGAAAAACTTTCCTTTTGTTCCGTTTATATAGTTGTTCGAATTTTATTATGTCGTCCAAATTTATAATGTCATCCGAATTTTAAAATTTCATCCAAATTTTAAAATGTTGTCCGAATTTTATATGGTTATCGAAATTTACAATAATAATAATAATAAGATTAAAATTAAAAATTAAAAACAACAAAAAAACAAAATAGGGAAAAAACAAAAAAATAAACAACAAAAGACAAAAAAAATAGGGTGGAATTGGAAAAAAAGAGGTACTTATAGCATTGTCCTATTTTGAACTGTAATTGCTTTTGTTTTTGTAGATAACAATCAATATTTTGAAGTGATAATAAATAGTGTCAGGTTTCATTGGTTTTTTTTGCAACACTTAAATGTATTTGTAATATATTAATTATTTGTATCAATTTAAAGGTATTTGTGAAGTCTTTTTTTTGGAACGAACAAACAATTTATAAAAGGCCAACCACCAGCAAGTAGGTAGAGGAAGGCAAATAAAGATGACAAAGTGATTACAATTTATAAACAAAGAAAAAGACAATTACACTATTCAATCCAATCTATTCTAGATTTCTTCCTCCTCTTCTTGATCCACAAAACTAAAAGATTTAAATAAAAGGATAGATGAAAGTTAAAAGGTTATATGTGTAATTAGATAAATGGTATATAAAAGCTATAATTGTAAATATAATCTAGTTACTAGATAAAAGGATGTAAAAGGTGTACGATAATTTTAGTATTCGGATTTCGGACAATGCAAGACAATTATAAAACACCCAAAGCAACCATAGATTTTTCAAACACTCCCTGTTTTTGCAAAAAATGTAAAAAAATAAAATAAATAATCTCAATTCTAATAAATGAATAGTTTTAATCTCATTTTGCCAAGTATCACTCTAATACAACTTCTCATTAATATTATGTCATGTGTCATGTAAATATATTAGGCAATTCATTTCAAAATTCAAATTTATATTTTCTAATTATATGTTAAATTTGAAGTTATAATAACTTTAAAAATTTGATATATATCTTAATTAATAATTTATTTAAAATGACTTATTTAAAATAATTGATTAATAATTATAAATTTTTATTATAAAAAGTGTAATTAATTTTATAACCGTGGTTCCCACGTATTAATAAATAAATAAAAATATAACTTGAAGATGACGTTCTATGTAACGGTTCAGAAGAAAAAAGAAAAGGATAAGTTTGCTACTTATTTATTATAATATCATCATATACATACCCCCATCACACCACAGCCTGCATGCAACCATGCAACCTCTCACCATCGTCTCTCTAATTGTGGCTTCACTCTTTCTCTTTGCTTGTAAGTTGTAATGCTCCCAACTTCTATTTGTAATTTATTAATGAATGTATTTTCATAGAGTTACAGTAAACCTATATATATATATATATATATATATATATATATATATATATATATATATATGTATATATACATATATATATATATATATATATATATATATATATATATATATATATATATATATATATAGCATTATACAACGGTAATCCTAATTTTATGGAATATGGAATTGACTGAGCATTATGCTCCAGCTCTTCAGGGACACGTGTGATAGACTGAGTAAATGTGATCGTTATCACCCCCCGACAAGCTCATGAGAGGGACGAACTTAAAGCTTGAGACGAAGATAAGAGAAGCGGTCTTTATGAAGAGGCTTGGTGAAGATATCAGCATATTGATCACTAGAAGACACTTGTGCAATCTTGAATTGTTGACGTCAACTTGTTCCCTTATAAAATGAAAATCCAATGCAATGTGCTTTGATCTAGTGCTAATTACTAGATTTTTGGTCATGAAAATTGCGCCAACATTATCACAAACGAGCAATGGAGGATGCAGTAGCGGCTGTTGTAACTCATGTAACAGTTGTTTCAACCAAAGTAATTCAGCCGCTGTATAAGCCATGGATCTATACTCAGCTTCCGTACTTGAACGCGCTACAACACGTTGCTTCCTTGAGGTCCAACTTATCAAGTTAGAACCATGATATATGGAAAATCCATATTGCGAACGACTGTCGTCTTTGTCCGACATCCAACCCGCATCAGAAAAAGCATGTAGAGAGTTCTTGGACGTTGGCTTAAATTGGAGACAGTGTTCGAGGGTACCGTTGAGATATCGAAGTATGCACTTGACTGCTTGCTAGTGTTGAGTGGTTGGGGAATGCATATATTGACATACCCTGTTTACCGCATATGCTATATTTGGTCTCGTGATGGTGGCATACTGCAGGGAACCTACCACCTGACGATACAATCTGGGATCTGAAAAAGGTTCACCAGCAAGAACTAATCTAGAATTAGAATCCGCTGGAGTAGAGATGGGAGATGCATTAGTCATGTGTGTCCGATCAATAATATCTCGAATGTAATCGGTCTGATTCAGAGATAGACCATCTGATGTTTGCTGAATTTGAATTCCAAGAAAATAATGCAGATTACCCAAGTCCTTTAACGCAAAAACAGAGTGGAGTTTGTCGATAAACCTTTGGATCAAATTAGCATTTGTACTTGTGATGACAAGATCATCAACGTAGACCAGAATGTAAATTACTTGACCATTATAGATATGAACAAACAAGGAGGTATCGGATTGGCATGCATGGAAGCCCTGAGAGATTATATATGTCTTGAGCTTTGTAAACCAAGCTCTAGGAGATTGCTTAAGGCCATAAAGTGCCTTGTGCAATCGACAAACATGAGTGGGTTTTGTGGAATCCTCAAATCCACGAGGCTGTTTCATATAGACTACTTCCTGTAAGTCGCCATTTAGGAAAGCATTATTGATATCCAATTGTCGAAGACACCACCCATTTGACACCGCAATTGATAGAACTAGACGGATAGTTGTAGGCTTGACAACTGGACTGAATGTGTAAGTTGTAATGCTCCCAACTTCTATTTGTAATTTATTAATGAATGTATTTTCATAGAGTTACAGTAAACCTATATATATATATATATATATATATATATATATATATATATATATATATATATATATATATATGGAATTGTATGGAATATGGAATTGACGGAGCATTATGCTCCAGCTCTTCAGGGACATGTGTGTACACGTGTGATAGACTGAGTAAATGTGACCGTTATCATTGCTTGTTGGGCACTATCACCCAAGACTTTGAAGAACTTTCCACCAGGGCCACCAAAACTACCTATTATCGGAAACATACACCAACTCAAAAGCTCCACCCCTCATCGAGTTCTTAGAAGCTTAGCCAGGAAATATGGCCCCATCATGTACCTACAGCTCGGCCAAGTCTCTACAGTTGTCGTGTCTACACCTGGACTAGCTCGAGAGATCTTCAAGACCAACGATATCTGCTTTGACGACAGACCGACCAGCACAGCCTCTCAAATATTCTTTTATAACGCTCAAGACATTGGCCGGGTGGGCTCCTTGCGGAGAATACCGGAGACAGATGAAGAAGATCTGCAGATTAGAGCTTCTAAGTGCTAAAAAGATTCGATCTTTCAGCTCCATTCGAGAAGAGGAGCTTAGTCGTATTACTAAGGTTTTTGAATCGAAAGCCGGAGTCAACTTCACGGAAATGACTGTGGAGATGGTGAATAATGTGATATGCAAGGCTATGTTGGGATATTCTTACAAAGACCAGGCTACACTGATCGAGCTATTGCTTGATGTGTTGAAAACTTTGAGTGCTTTCAATCTAGCATCGTATTATCCCCGTCTACAGTTTCTTAACGTGATTTTGGGGAAGAAAGCCAAGTGGTTGAAGATTCATAAAAAGCTTGATGGCATCTTGGAAGATGTGTTAAAGGAACATAGAGCTAGAGGAAGAAACAATAACCATCAGGAAGATCTAGTTGATGTCCTGTTGAGGGTGAAGGAGACCGGTGACATGGATTTCAAGCTCACGGACGAACATGTCAAAGCCATTGTTATGGTAAATATATACATACACCTATATACAAACGAGTGGCCTAATCTAATGTGTTAATACAGGATATGTTGGCTGCTGGAACTGATGCATCTTCGACAACACTTGAATGGGAGATGGCGGAACTCATGAGGAACCCTCAGATTATGAAGAGAGCACAGGCAGAAGTGAGATCAGCGGTGAAGGGAGACACAATCACGGAAACCGATGTACAGAGTTTGCATTACCTGAAACTAATAGTAAAGGAAACATTGAGGTTACATGCTCCTACACCATTGTTAGTACCCAGAGAATGCCGGCATGACATCAACGTCGGCGGATATGATATTCCGGCCAAGACTAAGATAATAGTAAGCGCCTGGGCTTGTGGAACAGACCCTGATAGTTGGGAAGATGCCGAAAGCTTCTTTCCAGAGAGATTTGAGAACTGCCCGATCAATTACATGGGTGCAGATTTTGAGTTCATTCCATTTGGTGCTGGCCGGAGAATTTGCCCAGGAATCAGGGCGGATCTTCTTTAAGGCTAGGGGGGTTGTGCCCCCCCCCAGAATATACCTGAATGATGCGTCAGAATGGATTGACGATGGATTGATTGTCTGGGTTTGATATGTTTATATGAATATATGGATATGTTTGTATAGGGTTCTGCTATTCAGAAATAGAAAATCTATTTCAACAGAAGAATATTGAGAACAACTCAAATCTTAAACACTCAAACTTAGCTTGTTCATTCCATATGGGCAAAGGCCCTATTTATAGGCTCAAAGGAGCCGAGTACAATAATAGAACTGCAATCGGTTGATTGCAATATGACAAACCTATTTACATTATTGAAGACATGTGACCTTTCCCACCCCCCCCCCCCCCCCCCCCCCCCCCGCTTTTTTTTTAAAAAACTAGTCCATATACTATTGAAAATTTTACATATTAGACCTAAGACTAAAAAAATTGATTGTGGCCCCCCCTATTTTCCAAATTTTATACTTATTATACTTTCGGCCTCCCAACTCATAGGTTCAAGCTCCGTCACTGCCAGGAATTACATTTGGGCTGAGTATGGTTGAGTACCCATTTGCTAATTTCTTGTATCATTTTGATTGGATGCTTCCAAATGGATTAAAACCGCATGAGCTTGACATCACAGAAATTACAGGGATTTCTACATCGCTCAAACATCATTTGAAAATCGTCCCGGTCCCCCTTAGCAAAGTAATGTAAGCTTCGGCTTTAATTGGATTGGTCGTGCATTTGTTGGGACTCTCGTCAGTATTCATTCTTGTCGTATCATGTGTATGTACTTTTTTTCATGGATTCGCAATAATATGTTTAATTTTCATTTATGCGTGACAAGAACATATGTACTTTTACTGGTGATCCCTTTTTTTTTTTATGAAAGTGGGTTGAATTTGAAACCATGGTTGATTTCTCGTTACAAGAATATTGATCTTTAATGGTGCGTCGCTGCGAAAGTTCCAAAATATCGTCATTAAAGGTATTAGCGATACATCTCGCCATTAAATGGTCGCCGCTGTTGATTCATCACTAATGCTCAAATGGTGGATGCTACTGTCTCGCATCGCCTCTAAAAGTGTATGTCGCCACTAACACTAATTGTTGTTTTCTCCTTTTTATTAGTATTTCTTCTATTATTTAACATTAAAAATACTAAAAAAAACAGTATAAAAATATAAAAACTATTATGAAATATTAATTGCAGAAAAATAGATCGAAACATTAAAATTTAAAGATACGGTGTCCCAAAGTATCAATCCAAACATTAAGTGCAAGTTATGTTTTAATTCTAACAAAACATTACATAAATCCTACATGTAGTTACATGTCATCATCACTCCCCTCGTTCCCTCCGGTATCATATCGTGGTGACAACGATCGAAACCATTCTTCAAGTGTTGAATTACATGTCGGGTTTTTTAATATTGATCGAAGCATATCCAACTACAAAAAATTAAAAAAAAAAAAACCTAATTTTATAAGTTAAACCAACAACTTACCAAAATATAAGCAAAGTACAAAATATATTACCAATATATCAAACTATAAAACTTACAATTATCAAACTATATATTACCAACATATAACCAAACTAACAAATACCAAGCTACAAATTACCAACATAACAAACTATAACTAAACTAACTTTTACCAACATATAAACTATTATTAAACTAACAATTATCAACATATAAACTATTACCGAACAAAAAATTACCCAAATATTAAAAAATTACCGAAACATAACCAAGCTAAAAGTTACCAAACTAACAAATACCAACATATCAAACTATAACCAAACTAACAATTACTAACATATCAAACTATTACCTAACTAACAATTACGAATAACGAAACTGACAATTACTAGAATATCATCAACTAACAATTACCAAACTACAAATACCAACATATCAAACTATAAAAAGTATATATAATAAATTTTAAAATGGAATAGTCTTGTTATACCTATGATCGTGGATGTGGCAGTGGTTAAAGCTTGAGTTTGTTGATTTAACTCTAGGACTAACAAAAAATGATTAACATCATAATACAAATAAACACTTATATGAAAATACTATAATTAATCACTTACAGATTGCTACTCGACACTAGTACTAATGAATACCCTTTGGTGATCGGTATGAGTCTTATAAAAGACTTCGAGTCTACTCATGTCCTATTAAGCATTAAAAATTAGATTAATTATATTTTAAATAAATAATTAAACATATCATAACTTACTTCTTTGAAACGAGCATTACTATACGAGCACAACCCCCCTTTATGTGTGGATTGTTGTAGTGCATAGAATCCTTTGTTTGCCGTCAACATTTTATAAAGGGGGTTTGAAAATGTTCAACTGGTTGCGCCAAATTTTCACGTGACATGCCCTTTGGGGTGGGGGTAGGCTAATTCCCTTGGGATATATAGAAGCCCTCTGACTCTCTCAAAATAATTATGCGCTTTACTTTCCGGTCTCTATAACGTTTTTGTAGAGACATATTAATGCTTTGCAATAACTGAGCACGTTGGGGATTCAATTTGACCTGATCCAAATTGAACTTTATCTACAAATACAAAAAAAAATAGTTAATTAAATGTCAATCACAAATAAACTTAAAATATTTATCATATAAATAGTTTACTTTCATATATACGACTTTGACATTCCTTAAAGTAGGGGAACATTGTCCCAACCATGTAACGCCCGGTTCCTAGTACGTATTTAAATAAGAAATTATTCACTTTTTGTAAGGGACTCGACGAGTTGGAGGCTCCAAACTAGTCGAGTAGGAATTTGATATGTTGGACGCGGGACTTGATGTCTACTCGACGAGTCGAGGAGCCTCGACTCGACGAGTAGGCCTGCCAGAGTGAAACCCTAATTTTCAGGGTTTGTACCCTATTTAAACACCTTAATACCCCCATTGTGGCCTCCCTCATCATCTGCCTTGGTCCAGAAAACCCTAATTCGAAACCCTAACCCATTTTGAGTGTTCTTGAGCCATTTTGTGTGTTTTTGGTGGTTTTGAAGCTTGAGGAGGAAGAAGAACTGAAGAAGTTTGGGAGCTCAAGAGGAAGCAAGTAGATCCAGAGGTTGTGTTTCATTTCCAGCTCATTTGAGGTATAAAGTCTATACCTTGTCCATTCATCTATTAGATCTCTTCTTGGAGTAGTTTAGGGCTTTAAGGAACCATTTTTGGAACCGTTCATGGATGCAAGCATGTTTTGGGGTATTGACTTCAGATCCAGAGTCTTTGAGGGACTCCCATGGCCATAAAGTTGCAAGCATGTTTTGGGTATTGACTTCAGATCCAGAGTCTTTAAGGAACTCCATGGCATAAAGGTGCCAACTTTATGGCCATGGGAGTCCCATGCATCCTATGAACCACTTTTTTGGGCTTTTTGAGCTAAATAGCCCATGCATGAACGTAAATTTTGAAACTTTACGTGTTATATCGACCCTAAGAGGCCAGATCTATGTTTTAGATGCATTAAGCCCGACTGAAATCGACTGTATAGATTTGGATCATGGAGGACTCGACGAGTCGTTCTTAGGACTCGACGAGTCGAGTTGTGGTTCCTTCAATCCTTCTCTGATGCTTAGCAACTTTTTGAGTCTAGAAGATGACTCAGCCAGTTAGATGTGTTTTGGACTTAAAGGTCAAGAACTCGACGAGTCCAAGGATGAACTCGCCGACTCAGTGAGAAAATATCCCGGCTATATGAAGGAGAACTCAACGAGTCCAAGGAAGGACTCGACAAGTTCAAATGGAAAGTCTCGATTCTATCATAAGGAGAAACTCAACGAGTTAGAGGGTAACTCGACGAGTCAGATCGCGAATGTGAGATTCTCTGAATTATGGAACTCGACGAGTTGATGAACCAACTCGGCGAGTTGGGTCAACCAGGATGTTGACTTTGACCAGGGCGTTGACTTTGACTTTGACTTTGACCATTACCGAAGATTGACCCTTAAAGGGGATATGAATATGAAAGAGTAATTAAAGGAGACTGTTATGTGTAGGAGTTTGAGGAGTGTTGATCCCAGCACCGAGGCCAGTTCAGTTACTGCACGACATTGAGGTGAGTTACCTTCCAGTAGAAGTGCGTCTAAGGCCATAATGTCGGCCCACTAGTAGGGTTGTTTGTTAGATAATTGTCTTTGTGATAATTGTCTGGTATGCTACTATCTGTTATGTTTTGTGTGCTAGTATGGTATGATGTTATGTGTTAGTGGTAGTAGGGGGATAGTCCCCGTATCAGGTCGAAAGGACCAAAGGGGTAGGTCGGGCACCCCGGTATGTCTGACAGTATGTTTATGTTATGTTGTTATGTGGTAGTGGTAGGGGTGAAATAGTCCCCGTAACCGGTTGAGATACACCGGAGGGTAGGTCGGGCACCCAGATATACCTGACATGGGGTTGGTTAGGCACCCCGGTATGCCTAGCAGGGGTAGGTTGAGCACCCCGGTATGCTCAGCAGGGTATGTCGGCCACCCAGATATGCCTGGCAATATGTTTATAGTTTGGTATGTGGTATGATGGGGGAACTCACTAAGCTTTGTGCTTACGGTTTACAGTTTTTGTTTCAGGTCCTTCTTCTTTGAAGGGAAAGGAGCCGACTCGGTAGCAGCGCATCACACCACTATTTTCCGAACTTGATGTTCTTGGGATTGTACTCTGATATTGTTACTACACTATGGCACGTTTTTGAGACATATGAACTTTGATTTGGATGAAATGAATTAACTTGATGATGTTTACCTAAAACTGTTTTATGAGTTGTTATATCAAAAATGAAATTTTTTGTCATGAAATTTGGGATGTTACAAGTTGGTATCAGAGCCTTGGTTTGAGGGATTCAGACAAACCTTTGGGGGTGTCTGGACTCAAATCGAGGGTTTAAATTTTTTTTACCCAAGATACCCATACATGTTTGTTATGATATATGATATGATTATGAGAATTGCATGCTAGATTAGGGCTAAGGATCTAGGATAGAT